AGATATTTGATACAATGAATTCAATTTTTTCTCTTCTTGTTTTTGTTTTATGACATATAAATTTCACCTTCTTGAGTACTATTTACTGCAGAAACTTTAAACGAGATCAATACTACGAAACAACCTGATTAATTTTGAGTGCACTATTTCGAAAATATAAGTTACGATCTGTGATGGCGAATATGTTATCAAGATGTTTCAGCGGCGGATCTAGGATTTTTTTGATAAGGGGCGATTCGATAGACATGGGGCGATTTTGATCAAAAAGCAAGTTTTGAAGTCTATTAGTAGTAGAATGCACTCAATTTTTAAGACCTTTCTGCTGGGAAAATCCAAAAATTTTTGTTTCGAATGGGGGCGATCGCCCCAAGCGCCCCCCCCCCCTAAATCCGCCACTGAGATGTTTGTTATATCTATAAGAATTTATTATCAGAGAAAAGACAGATCCGTTGAAGTCCTGTAACGTTGACTAGAACTTAAAATCATCGACAAATAATTCGAAAAGAATGTCAATGTCACTTGAATATACAAATAGTCCAATCTTTTGTTTAATATTATAATATGAAATTTGGTATTCATTTAATCATTCTCGTCATAGTCCTAATTCAATAAGCTAAAGTATCAATGGCTTACAGATGATCAGTATTCATCTCTGTTTATAAACGGCTGTCTAATCAAGACATAAAGACATGCTCCCCATTGTAGTGACATTGCACTAAAATTAATGAAAACAAATCTTATAGTTTTCTTCGTTGAAACAAAATCATAATACTCATATAATATTGAAGGCTTTCGTTATAATTAATAATAAAGAACAATGTCTACTTGTTTTAATGACTGAATATATTTTGCTTTCTGTCAAAGTACATTGAGAAATCATACATATGTACAAACAATCTACCTTGATGATTTCAGGCAAGAACAGACTCTTATCTTCGATGATAACAATGAACACTGTAGAATTTTTGAGACTTATTCATATGAGATAAGTCATTGCATATAATCTAACTTACAACACAATTCATAAAAACTACCACAAAAAAGAACTACTTTAACAGAAGAGAAGTTCTCAGAAGAGCCTTCAAATATGCAATGAATGTAGAAAGCAAAGGATAATAGAGATTTATTTCATATTAAATCATTTCAATGGACAAGTCTAAATCAAATAATCTACAGAAATTATGACGGAAATAAACAGATAATATAGTGAGAAACAATGATCCATTGCATTATTATGACAAATAAAATTAACAGACGAGCCATTTAATTTAATGAGAATATTTATTGTTGCTTCATCCAATGGTTTTGTTTGATTATTATCTTCAACGATCATCCAACCAAAAACAGGATATTCATCTTCAACGTAATAACTTCCATTAATCATTCGATATGGAATTTCTCGAGAGTAATTTCTTGACCAATAAGAAAAATCATAATTTTCTTCTGCAACTCGAATAAAATCAGGCAGAATATCAACAATCATAGCAACATGTCCGTAAGGCATATCAATTCCTGAACGTGTATAAATAAGTAATGATTCATTTTTTGGTGGTAATGGAGAACCATTAGGATGTTTTTTTAAGGGAAAACATTTTCCATCAATAACTCTTTGTACACTATCCACTTCTGTCCATATATCAGCAGCTCCTACAATGCTTTTAAAAACACAACCTTTACGTATTAATAACCATCGACGAGCATATTCCACACATTGCCATTTTATTCCCATATATACTCCATATAAATAATAAGATTCATACGATATATAAGTATCATTTTCATTGGAATATGCTGGAACATTCGTGGAAGCATAGCCCATGATTTCACCATAGGCAACATGTGTTGTATTATCTTAACAAATTATGTTCAAATTTCTTTGCTAATTGTAAATAGGAAATTACCTATCGATTCATCATCACATTTTGCGTTCAGAAAAATGTGCGTATAAAATATCAGAAGAACGAAAGATTTCATCAGTCAGTCTAATGCACAATTCAATAAGTAACAACGATTGAAATACTATACATAGATAAGATCAAATAACATTCCTTGATCTTTTAAACTTAAAAAAACATCACGTTAGAGATTATGATATCGATATGTATTTTATTACCAACACTCGATGTATTCTTCTCTCAATAAAAATCAACGTACAATATATAGTACCTTGTCGATATAATTAAAACAATAGATTGATCATTTCTTCTATAGATCAGTTTGGTGAGAAGAAAAGGTTAAATTGTTTGATGTTGTTGTTTTTTTTTAATGAATTAAAACGAGGATGAATATATTACTTTATTTTGTCTTTGTAATAAAGAATTCATCAAAATTTTAGTTTTCAAGATGCAGGAAATATTATTACAGTTTTTTGTTGTAATACAATCTTTATCTTTTATATTAACTACAATAAACATGAAGTAACATATTGGGGTAAGGATATGCATGTGAGTGAAGAAGAGAGATACATACACCCACATTCTAGTTCCAATTAGCATGAAACAAACGTTTTTTTTTTTGAGAATGTCAGTGAATGAATCGAAAAGAGCATATAAATCATACCCATACGTTGAAGTTTCTTTCAGAGAAGGAAATTACGGTATTTTGAAGTGTATCACGTCCAACGATTACATACTGTTTTGCACTAACTCTCATATGATAATAGTTTAGTACTAGAACGTCTTCTTGAAGTATGGGTGTGTTTGGATTTTTATTCATCTTTACTTCAAACTCATACCTTCAAATTAGGAACTATTCAAATCTAATGTATATTATGCGCTGTTTGCTTAAAGAAACATAATAATTATAGACAGTTACTTTCATCGAAGATTCTACTGAAGAATGGATGGAAAAGATTTTGTTTAGAGAAAACAGAATATTAAAAAAAGAAACTGTAGTCTATTGACTCAATATGGCTCAGATTCTTAGAACCTCTGATATGTAAATCATTCGCTATGTAGTATTATTAAATTCTTATAGTAAATAAATAAGGTTGATTACGTTATTTTTAATAGTTTTTGTGTAGTTTGCTGTATTTATGTAAAACACTGGGAGTTTCTAATTTTGATATAGTTGGATAGACCATTGACTACTCTATCGAACCATATAGTTTATATTTCATTTTCTTTGATTCTAGTCCAAAAAATTGATAAATCTCAAAAAACAGCCAAAAAATTTTTTTCCAGCAGGAAAGGAGAACATCAGGAAAACTTATTTCTGAATTTCGATTTGAAACTTTGTATAGAGATAGGTCTTGACCAGAGTAGTTTATTAGGAAAGTTTTAGATCTTTTCGTTGTTCCTATTCTAAAATACAGTTATGGTAAAAACGTCTTTTATTACATCGCTCATATACACTGACAGATTCAATATGCGTACTTTAGAATAGAAACAACAAAAATATCTGAAATTTTCATAATAAACTACTCTCGTTAGAACCTATCTCTATACAAAGTCTTAAGTGGAAATTCGAAAAGAAGTTTTTGTGATGTTTCTGAGAGGGGAATCATGACATTTTGTTAAAAAATTTTGATATTCCTTAAACTTTTGTCCACAAAAGCGGCGAGATCTTGATCTTAATGAAGGGTTCACTGCATTAGCAAAAAATAGAAATAACTTATTGGATTATATCAGTGAGACATAATGTCGTGCCTGCTATAATTCTAAGATCACAAAAATAAACCATAGGTAAAGAAGTAACATGGAGATATAAAATATTTGTTGTACTTTTCATCATCAGTGAAAAATACAAATTGTCCTCAAAAACAAATAATAAGGAGAAGAACACATAACTTATGAATGAGAACCACAATTTTTCTGATGCGTTTTGTATAAATGAGTAGCAGAATCGAAGAATAATGGTACAAACTTTAGAGACACTGAGATTTAAGCGTTGAAAAAAAAAGATGAAAACAACAGAATTTTTCTGCTTGAGCGTCTATCTTTCGTAATGGAGTTTAGTGTGAAACTTCTTTCATGATATTTTTCTACATGGAATTGCTTCCTGCAAGATACTACCGCACTGATATTTACAATTGTTTTTTTGTTTTTTTTTGAAAATAAGAGTTAGATCGGAAGTATACATACAGATTGTGGATTAGAACAAAAATACATGCACAATGGAAGCAAGACTTGCTCAAAATCTATAGAATCTCATAAGTCTGACTATATCTTAGTAGAACTAGTATATTAATAAAATAAGATATATCGTAAGAAATCTCACAGATAAAATTTTGCTGGCTTAAGAATGTCACCTTGTTGGATTAATTCAACTCGCTAGTACAAATATAAAAAATAAAAACTTTCTATTTTCATATGACTAAATCAATGAACATTAATGTAAAAAGCGATTCAAATCAGAAAAGTTATTAATATTTAGAAAGTTTGAAAGCATCATTAGCTGAACCAAGAAAAAAAGAATTAAAAAAAACTAATGCTCGCGAAAGTATCGCATGCGAAAATTTCAGTCAATCTCAAACTTATTGTGGCTTAATGCTATTCGAAAAAGAATTTTCATCGGATTGATATTAGGGAATATGACTGAGTTGAATGAGAGAATTATCGACTCAGGTACACCTAACAAATACGAAAAGCATCAGTAGATGTTTGCTATTAATAACAAATAGAGAAATAAGATAATATTGCTCTTAAACTATAGAGATATGTGAACATATTCAAAAGGAAGTAGAAAAAACTCGAAAAGTATTCAAAACACAATAAATGATAAGGAGTCTTCTATTGTGTTAGTTGAAGCAGAGTTAATAATGGAGCATTTGTTTTCTACGAGACATGTAGTATACTAGCTGAGATATTATCTAAACATTTTGACGTGTGAAGCTGAAATGATGGTAAGTACAAAAGCTTGATTAATGTAATATTCATGCTAAACATATGAAGTTATTCTATTCAATCTTATCTGACGGTATCTTGCTTCCGCGAAAGTCTTGTTATTTTTTTTTGTATCTTTTCTTTTGCAGTCTACATGGAAAGTTCTTAGTACAATTCTTAAATACAATTACATAGAGTATCACTAAATTCTCTATGCAATCCATATTGTTCTACTTTGGTATCAAATGGTGGTTCTATGTACATAACCCATTTCAATATTTGTTCATTACTTTTAATACAGAATTCATCTCGTAATGGGTTTCTTGGATGACGATAATATATTGTATCAAAATTCTGATGCCATGCATCACTATTTGATACATTTGCTAATTCATCATTTTCTATTTCAAGTACACGACCCATTAGAATCTTAGCACATATAACTGCACCATTTCGTCTTGCTTTAAACTGCGTATGAAAACTTGAACGAGCAAAATAAATACCAAAACCTAACATCTGTCGTCCAGTTCTACTTGTACGGAAATCTGTGTAAGCAATACTAACAGCTGCTTGAGCATCTGTACGATGAAAACCAATGTATGTAGTAGTCAATGGATCTTTGTTTGGAACATCACACCAACGTGGTGTAGGGGTATGTGTATTATAATGAAATATCATGATGTGTTCTAATGTTTGATTGAAACAAAATTGTCGTAATTCACATGGTTCATTCCATAATTGAATTTCATTTCGATGGGCACCCATTAAATGATGTGGGATAAAACGTCGATGTTTCTTTAAATAACGACGATGAAATGGATTTTGATCACATGATGGAATATAATGCCACCAAACACGATAATGATAATAATCCAATAATAAAGTCAATATTGATGATGGTAATGTAATGCCACAAATCCATGATAGTTTTTGTGTTCGACTAAAAAATTTATCATTCGTATGTGTTGATGCTGTTGCATATAGAATAATCGCTAACACTCGTAGACCAATACTAATAGTGATGAATAGAAAACGTACAAGAAAACGCCATTTGGGTCGTGCTATATAACATGGACAATTACAATTGAATAGAAGAAAGCGTTGGATTCGTCTATTGGTTATTAGATGTCGTAGATGAAAATTGGTACGTGCTCGATGATGACACGAACAAAACAGTCGTAAAATTCGATAGCCAAACCAAAGAAAAATGAAAATAATAAACAAACCCATCATGCATGGAATTAATGAACTAATGCAATCGATAATAAAACCAGCGACAATCTGAGAAACTTTTCTATTTTCTGACAATGTTGTTCTGGCTATTGATATAGTTCCATTGTCGAATAAACTTTTTCCATAGTTATAAGACCCATTCTGCATAAATCTATAATATATTCCAAGTCTAAAAATACCACATATAACTTCATAAATCGTAAGAATTCCATAAAATATGGGTAATGATTTATAAAACCACCAGCACATTATTTATGATATTATCGTAATTTTTCCAACTTGATCTAAAGATTGAAAAAATTTCGGTTATATATGCGAGTGTCAAATGAAATTAACTCATATTTCTCATATTTTTATATTCTTGAGAGTAAACAGCTTATTTTTTTATGAATATAGAAATATGCTTAGCACTATTCCAATTGGAAAGATCGAAGTTTTAATGCAATCATTAATACTATAAAAATCAGTGGTATCGTATTAATACGATCGTAAAGACTTGTAAAAGAAATGTGATGCTCTCATCAAATGGTAGAGAAGGAAATAAAATGACACAAACGATAACTTGTTTTGAAACACGTGTTCTCTAACTATTGACTTTACATAAAAAACCATGGAGTGTCTATATTATTATTCTTTTTCGTCAGAATATATCAAAGAAGTAAAAGAACAGCCAGTTTTTGATGATTTTCAACATTAAGACTTGTTATCTCTTCGTCAATGGATATCTCGATGTGTCTATTTGAGTTGCTGATACCAATCGAAGAATATCTTACATAAAAATGTTGAGAAGACGAAATTAACTGAAAGAAAAAAGCAGTTTGACATGTATACATCCACGATTTCGGACTCTCAGTATCTACGGACAACAGAGCAGCATATTGAGTTTTGTAGAATTCTTTCAAAAATGAAACATAACTAATTAAAAGACACTCTCATCGTAGAAGAATCTAAGTAACAAACCATTCAATTAGAACTCTATTGGACAGATATCGCAATCGCGCTCACTCACTTTAACGAACACTTTACTCAGAACGTCGATTTTCTTGTATACAGTGTACATGAATGACTGCTTCTATTTGCCTAGTAAAGGTTAGATAAGAGAATGACGTGCATTTTTGGTTACAAAAAGCTTTTTTCCAACTTCCAAAAACAACCATAAAGTTGATATTCAGGTGAAATGTGGTTGTGGATGAGTGTGACTGTAGATGGTTTTTTTTTTTGAAGAGCAATCACACTCAAAGATGTACTGAAAATGTTTATCCTCAAAAGAGAATATTTCAGAATCATAAATTTACGATTTCTTTTACCTATAAGTCTTGATAATTATTCAATCTGCTTTCCCTGATTAGCGGCTTCTTCAAATATTCAATCGACATTTTCATCAACTTTGACTAATTTAAGTTAAACAGTTTGCCATCTTAGTTAATGGTCAGGAGCAAATTTTTACTGTGAAGCTATTCAATATTTCGATTCTTCTAATGTACAAATCAATTGAGTCTCATTAAGTAATTAAAGTGGTAACAATGGGCAGTTGCGCTTTCGGATATCTCTCCAGTCGACATCAAAATACATTTTGATCGTAACAATATTCTTCGAAAAAACGACAATAGCATTCTAGATTTTCGTAATAGCTCCAGCATCTGTTCGTTGTTTCGTTGAATTATTCTGTTGTCTGGATTAGAAATTTCTCGAAACATCGATTGACTCTTCTACCTAATACTATTTACAGACTCCAATAGTTTCATATTCAAATAATCGCGTTCATGTTTCTACTTTTAGTTCTAAACCAAAACGTATGTTCTATACCACTGGTTGTCTATCTGGAAGGATTAAAATTGACGAAGCAGGCGACCTAAAGGTCTCCATTTATCCTCGTCTCCTTCCCTTAGAAAACTCAGCTCTTCTTTAAGAAACTTTTTAGCCACGGGCTTATCTTTCTTTTATTGTTGAGATAGATCATTTAACGACAAAAATTTTAAAAAATGCATCCTATGAAACACATTCAACTGAAATCAACATTAACTTTTCTTAGTGTTGATAGTTGATCCAATCGGTGAAATAGGATCGATGATAAAGCATTTGTTTCCGACAGTACATGTAGCATTCAATCCGAGATATTCTCCAAATACTTTGACACGAGCAGCTGAAAGGATATCACAATTCGGACACAAATCGATGAAGGCAGTAGTAGTGATATTTTTATCAAGCATCAGAGCTTGGTCAGTGATGGAAAAATATTCGGGCCATGTTACGCTCATATCATCGTTAGGATGTTCTCGTGTAATCATATTCGTCCAGTATCTACGAATTGATTCGGCTAAATTTCTTTCATCTGGTTGAAAAATGTTGTCTCCATAGAAAGAAGCTGTGAATGTTTGAAATAAGTTAAACAGTTCAGTAGTATGATATGCACCAGGTCGAATGACCAAGTTCGGTGTTAACAACCAGTAGGATTCTGGTGTATGAGTATAGCTTTAGAGATATGTTGGTTGCCTCTTGGTATATCCAGCCATAAGACGAGCACCACAAAGAAAATGTCCTTGTGACATCAAAGCTACGAAGGCTTCAGAGTAGTTACCATTGAATTTATCTAGCGCATATAAAGCTTGAACTTCGGATTGATTATAGGTTGCTATTGGTAGAACACGAGTTAAATAATCTTCGGCACTAGTCGGTCCATGAAAATACTTTTCATACAGAAAACGTAGAAGAAGTTCGCCTTGAGTCGCTCCTATAAGTATAGGGACGTCATTAAAATTGCCCAACAAAAATGCTTGCAATGGATGAACAGGTATTTCAATTCCATCAACAATGAGATCAAAAGGAAATACCCCGTCAATCTTTGTTTGATCTTTAAAAGCTAGTGAAGTCGATGATGGAATAGGTACATTGACAGCAGCATTTAATAGTAAGCTAGTATTTACAGTTAATAAACAAGCTAATTACTGCTTCGAATCAGTCATATTACACTCAACAAGTAAAGCAAGTTCGTTTGCTGTTGAATGAGCAAATTGCTTATCACGTAAATAAGTAGGAGTATGACAGGTACCACTGTCGAGTATGCCAGCATGGAACAAATTGGTTGATAATGGCGATACTATATGAGTACAAACAGAATGAGATCCAGCTGATTGACCCATGAGAGTGATTGAGTCGCTATTGCCTCCGAATTGTCGAATATCGTTTCGAACCCATTGCATGGCCATACGTTGATCACTAATACCTTGATTTGCAATTGTCTGTCCATGATCATCGACTAAAGCCGATTGAGCGAAGAAACCCATGACTTTGAGTCGATAATTAATGCTGACCATAATAAATGAATTGCTAGCTTGGATAGCAGCGTTAGTCCAACTTAATCCATCATAGATAATTTGTAATGAACTACCTTCGAAAAATCCTCCACCATGAATCCAGAGCATTACAGGATATCCTATCGATTGTACAGGTGGATCTCGTGGTGCCCAAATATTTAGATATAAACAATCTTCATCAAATGGTTCAGGAGTCATACCTGTTCGATCAATTTGAGGACATGATGGACCGTAATGTGTTGCATTCTGCACTGTATCTTTAAGCTTGGCACTGAGAACATATGGCTGAACCTTTTGCCAACGACGTAACCCAATAGGTGAAGCAGCATAAGGAATTCCAATCCAAACATTTGTCTGACGAATCGTAAAACCAGCAAATCGACCCGACGTCGTGGAGAGAATAGGAGAAGCTACAGATTCATTCGCAAAGGGATAGAGATCCCCATGTAAGCCCAGGACACTTGTAATTAGTAATGAGTAAAACGACCAAGTGAGGAGCATGATATTCACATGATAAACTGTCGTACTAGAAAACAAATGAAAAGAAGTCATATTCAACTTACTTTAGTTCTTTTCAATTAGCAAGGCTTCATCATAGATTTAATGAATGTTTTCTCTATAGCAAGCATCTACTTCATACTCTAAATCACTGGACCGTACTTGGATGCTAAACAATATGAAGATCTCTGTCATATATAAACAGCATGATACGTCCAAGTAGAAAAAGAAGAACGCAAAAGTCTACAAGCATTATCGACGATAGCAAAGAAAGAAGAGAATACTTTCATGAGTCAACATCTTCACATCTCTTATCGCTACATTTCGCTTGTTCTTCAAAAAGGCAAGGAGTAAAAATCAATACTTTTATATTTATATGAAAAGTATTGATTTTTACTCCTTGCCTTTTTTTCTTGAATATTGCTGAGTCTATTCAGAAGCATATGAAAATGATATTCCTGGGTCTATGGCAACGAAGTTCTATTGCAACATCAAGACAAAAATACTATTGAATAGTATTTTAACAAATAGAAACATACACATCGAACGTTTCTATCACATTACCGTGGGAATAACACGAGTATCTCGATTTTAATAGTAATAAAGTTTGAAACGAGCTTGGATAATGATGAATTACAAGTAGTGGCGGTGTCAAGACGGTTGAAAAGAACTGATTATCTTGTATAGTTGAAGAGTTTGAGGTGAGTTGTGTGTGTGTTGAGAGAAGATCAACCCACACCGACACCCACATCGTGTTTCACATTTTTAATCCCCTAATGGATTGCGCTAACAGCTTTTTAATTAAGATAACAATTATAATTGATTACAAAAAGTGTAATCCATTTCAATCATTATAATGATTGATAATCATGTTATAATCGGATCATAATAGTGCCATTATAATTAATTATCAATCGAAAACTACTCGATTAAAATCTGATTTTTCCTGATATTTTTATCCATGTATATGCATAGGAAAAAATTAAAGAAAAAGGTTTTAGAGTGTGGGCGTCGACGTCTGTATAACTCTATCTGCGCCTACACCCAACACCGACACCTATGTCATAAACATCCACATCTAGAGTCACATTTACACCCTCTTATTTAAATCTTTATGAGAACAAAGAAATTGATAAGTCAGCACACGATTCAATGTTCTCTACTATCCTCTATTCCAATATGCGGATGCGGTCGTTACTGCCGTATAAATTAATATGTAATTGCCACGGGAATGGACAGCCATTTAAGTTAATAGGTATAGAATTTTTTTGATTTGTTCGTTCATTTTCGAGTTCGATAATTCGATTGTCACAATTCAATGTCAGGTTAAGAATATCATTTTTAACAATGTCAGCCTGATAATTATTGTACCCTTCATTGTTTACACCATTCAAATAGACTTGTTTAGAATTCTTCGCCCATCCGTTAGCTGATATTGAAGAGTAAGAATGTTCTTGCATTTTAGTACCTTGTGATATAATTCCCAAAAACATCCAATAATTATTCGTCATCTCTTCAATTTTCAAATTAATTTTATGAGTTCCTGTTGAGTACGTCTTGAAACCTCGAACTTCACCATGATCAGCCATTCCACCGTGTTCTGCAACGAAACCATTTTCTAATATTTTAATGTTATCGCTTGCTTTGTCAAATTTATCAGGTGAATTGAGAGGAGTTGTCGTAACTGCGATTGGTTGCAATCATATTTCGTTACTCGCTTTCTGCAATATCACATTTGATGGTGTTAATAGCTGTTTGTTGAGTTTTTCCAGTATCTGTAACCATTCGCTTAAATCTTTCTCTGAGTAATCATCCGCCTCTTTTCTCATTTTTAATTGAGAAGAAATTTCTTCCAGTTTTTCCGTAATCGATTTTTTATGATCGGTCAATAACTGATCAAGATCGCGTCGAGCTTTCTCAGCCATCTCTCTTATTTTCTTCATATTTACATGCTCCCAGTTGTTAATTTTCTTCATTAATGGATGTTGACTTGAGGCTGTTTCTTGTTCGCTAAGTTGTTGTCGAAGAAAGTCATGATGGTAAACAACGTTATCCATTTCTTTTGATAATTCCAAATTGTGTTCAACCACATGTTTTCTACAGAATATTCGTTGACATCCTCGACAGTCATATACACCAGTTGCTTTATTGCATATATCGCAAACACGTTGGAGCACTGTTGTCATTCTATAACAGAAGAGTTTGAATTTTCAATGTGTCACCTATTGTATACGCGAGAACGTGTCTACCACAATAATATAGATGCGAGAGCACAAGTTGTTGATTTAACAGTTCTTTACTTCTTCTGTAATAATGAAAGAAAGGTAAAAGAAAAGCCTTTCGACAAATAATGAATCATGACGAAATCAAGATGAGAAAGAAAAAGAAGAATGAAAAAGCTTAAAAAAAAACGTTTTTGAGTGCTATATTTTGACATAAACAATGATATAATATATGATTCGTCTACGCTTAGAAAAAGAATACTACAATTGACCATATCTCTAAATTGTGGATTTTCAAAAGCCTCTTTTTTCTCCAATCAAATATTATAAAGTTTCAGTGAACTTTCACTGTCACAGAATACTTTAGAACTTTTTCTGGATAAACGAACTATTAGGATTGTTATTTTTTTGTTTGAACGCCAGAGTAAAGAAAGCAACAAATGAACACAATCAAAAAAACACAAGAAATAAGAACAAAATAAATTTATACAATAGATGATTGACTTTCATGTTGTGCATTTAGTGAGTATTGATATAGGTACCGACTTTGACTTGGCTGGTCGATGTTTGCTGTTGATAAATAGCTCGAATTTCTACAAGTGCCAAACATCGTTGGAAAGCATTAAGATCGGCGTTCAAAGTTTGATTTGATATTTCTAATTGGTTTTTGTCAAACTTACGACATAGTAGAATATTAAACAAAGAAAAGTATTGTCTCAAGCGACCAAGTAATATTTGACATGCATTGAGTTTTGCAAGATTCAGCGATCGAAATGCTTTTCTTATTATCGAAATCATATTTTTCATCACTACAAAGCAAAATGTTCAGACCCTTAACGTTATAATTTCTAAATTGTATGTGTAATTCACAATGACGAGATAAACAGAGTCATAAAGAGAAAGAATAGTTTGAGCTACAGAGCGATAAACGGTAAACATTTTCATAGAGATGTTCATGATCAGATGAGCTTCGTAACACAATCCAAGGCAGAAGATCACAATCACTTAATCAAAGATTGATGAGAAATAATGTTTCGTCAAGATTTAACTTCCACGGTGATGTACAATCACCACAGTGGAGAGCGGAAGCACAAAAATAAGTTCTTCCCGAACGCTTCAATAATTGAAAAAAACCATCGGTTGTGAAAATATTCATTACCCATAATCAAAGATCACCAACGACTAGAGATACAAGACATTCAAAAAAGATCAAATGTTAATCAATGTGTCATAGGCTAAAATATAATAACTCACACAGTATAATCGGTCCATTCTATCTGCTATTATTAATTTCATGGAGTGAAATGCTGTGCATACAAGTGCCATCTCCATTCATTGTCGATGCTGTACAGATATTTGATGTGTACTGTTCTCTTAGTCATTTATTAAACAATGTGCACTGACATAGCAAGGGATGGGAACACAAAGACAAACAGAGTAGTTCAAACTATTTTTAGTCTGCACAACAAAATTACTTTTCTTTCGTCGGCCGTTTGACACACAATCGACAATCGATTTGAACAGTTTTCTGAAGCTGTTTTTTCCAATAACATCGACATAACTAACTTCTATATTTCTTGTATAGCTTGTTATTGTATCGAAAGGTTATTAGTATTATCCCGATCTTCGTACTGAAGAATACGATGCTATGGTTTTTATGTTTTGTATAAACATAGATAAAAAAAAGCTATCAATACAATCAACACATAGTTCAAATGTGAAATACAATGAAAGTATTGTAACAGTGGTCTAAAGTATACGTTATATCTAGAACTATCAATTACATATAAGAAAAATTATTCCAACTCAAAAGTCTACCTCTAAATAACTGATTTCTTAGAGATGTTCAACGAGAGTGTAGGTGCATACGTGGATGTGGAGGTAAAGTGCTAATGTGAGTGTTGTAAATACTATTGTAGAAAAGAGGATAATACCCATACCTAAATTCGAAAGTTTAAACGACTTTTTCGTAACTAATTTATAAAGATACAAGAATTGAAAATGAAAGTCATCATTCCAATTTGAAAATATTACGCTAATGCTACATTCAGGTGAGAAAGAAGCCTCAGAAATCATCCAACCCACATCTAGAGATGCAGTTAGTCTAACTTCAAAATTATCAAATCTTCAGTCACTTTAGTTGTTTTCAGAATTAAGAAAATAAATTTTTATTGTGAAAAAGTAGGTGTCGCTAAAAGCATAACTAGTCTCACAATTTTTATCCGATTGTGACCGAAGCGACCTCATCCGATAGAGAAATCCAAAATAAAGAAACTTTAGCGTCAAATTTTTGAAATTTGGTTCTTGAGTTGAGATATTTAGAAGACCATACAAGAGTGTCGAATGAGCAAGAAAAAAAAATACATTGAAGCATTCGTATCTCAACTTTGGAGAAAAATTTCGAAAAAAGAAAGTAATATTAGAGCTGTCGTTTGATCATGTAGTTCAGTAGTCATGTCTGCTTACCCGAATGAAATTGTTTCCGCGAATATAACGATGTTTCCTCTACCATGTTCTATTCTACCTAAAGCGTTGAAAAATACAATACATCACGATTTCATCAACTGCGTCAAATATTTATAGCGTTCTGTCACTTTCGCTTGAATGTGGATGCTGTCATCAGGTTTCTACTTTCTTCCTTTTTTCGGTTTCTTATTGTTCTTCTCATATATATTTTGGCCCTTTATTTGTCGAAGAATAAAAGAAAATAATAAAATGCTCCAGTAGTTAACCTCTCGAAGACCGGCAATTTTTTTGTTCTGTTCAATAGATTAGAAATATCGAAAAATTACTCTCACTAACAGTGGGTATGAGTGTGAGTGTGAGTGTGGGTGTGGACGAAGATTAGATCAACAGCCACAGTCACACGACACCCCACATACCGACACCCACACCCACACCATGTTTATTTTGGAAAATACTATTAATATATTAATATATATAATATAAAAATATAGCTAATATTTTAACACATATTATAAAAAATATAATTAATATTTTAATATATAATATAAAAACTATTAGTATGACAAAAAAATAGTTTTTTAGTATTTAATTTCTATCCAAAAAGATCGTCCGTTATAAATCATTCATACGTCTTTGTTGTTTGCACCATTTGTGTGAACACATGGCTTCTCTACTGAACGCAATATCACGTCATGCGTACTAAAGGTGACACATCGGTAAACCACAGTGCGTGTAACGTCATTGGTGATGTCATCTGCACTTATGCGCACAAACGTTGCGTTCGCATACAAATAGCGCACGGGTTGACTTGTGGATCTATCTATGGGAAAAAATCTGCTGCCAGAGAGAGACAGGAAGAGAGAGAGATAGAGCAAACAACGTTTTCTATAGAGAACAGTACCAAACATATGTACAGTATCTCTTCGTTTCACTCACTTGTTTCGAAAAAAAAA